ACTCGGGGATTCAGCAGATTCACAGATGTGGAAACATCAGCCTGATAGGAAATGAAAAGGTTGCTAAGGGTTACGTATCAAACATCAACAGGCTTCAGCTGTACAGGTGAAGTCAGAATTATCAGCACCGCTGTTTATTATTGCCCCAATTTCTGTTTAGCAGAGAGCAGATTTCCCCAGCACATCTCTAATCATAACAGTGTTCATAACTCATCTCTAATAACTGATTTATTTCCTCTTCATCATGATGACAGTAAATAATATTAGACTAGATATTCTTCAAGACACTTAAAGTACAGCTTATAGTGACATTTAAAGGCTTCACTAGGGTAATCAGGGTAAAGTTAGGGTAATTAGGCAGGTCATTGTATATCGATGGTTTGTTCTGGAGAGTATTGAGAAAAAAATATATAGCTTAAAGGGGCGAATAATATTGACCTTAAAATGGTGTTTAAAAAATTAAAAACTGCTTTTATTCTAGCTGAAATCAAACAATTCAGACTTTCTCCAGAAGAACAAATATTATCAGACACACTGTGAACATTTCCTCAATCTGTTCAACATCATTTGGGAAATATTTAACAAAGAGGGGGCTAATAATTCTGACTTCAGCTGTATATATGTTCCATTGAGGACAGTGTTGTGTTAATGTGCACATGATCTAATGATGTGCTCAGGGTTGTGTGTTTGGTCAGTGAATGAAGACAGCAGCAGCGGACTGTTCTTTACAGTGTGTTTACTTCAGTGACCTCTGACCTCTGACACACAGTAAACCACCGTCAGCAGCCCTGAACAATAACAGCAGCCCACAAACACACCTCAGCTGAGGACTGATGTATGAGGAGCACATGACACACACACACACACACACGTTGAGTTTTCATAATGTATGGGGACGTTCTGTGGATGTACTGATCTGCAGTTTTACATTATTCACTCTGGATCATTTAATAATGAGCAGTTTTCCTCATGGAGACCAACGAATATCCCCACAAGCCAAGATCAGAAGAAATGACTGGAGGTATTGCTGTATTTGTGGGAACACACACACACACACACACACACACACACATCTGAGTGGAATGTGCTGTAATCCCGCATAGATTATACCCACAAGCGCATTATTAGCCACTTCAGACGGATTACTCATGTGGTTTTGAATAATTCCTCTCATTATCTATATGGAGTTACATCTGTGACACAACATTGCCATACACAAGTGTCCACAGACACCTCAAAACTGAGATAACACACATGCAACACACTATGAGTGTGCTCAAAACAGGATCGTGTTTGCTAGAGAGTTCCACAGGACTCAACGCACCAGAGTGTGTGAACTCTAAGTGTTGTAAATATCGAGCATTGGCCTATTTTATACATTGAGGAATTATGTTCACTGACTGGACACCGCTGAGGTCAAAACATGCTAACACACGATCTGAAGCAGCATTAGGACAAACACTTTTCTGTTGACAGATTAACCTTTATTATTATTATTATTATTATTGTTATTTAGTTTTATTGCAATGCAAACTTATTTCTATTTACTGAAAAGCTTCTCGTTCGTGTTCATCATTTCATATAATTAAACTTAAATAAATCTGTTTTGCATTTCTTTTTGCCAATATTCAAAGGGAAAGCAAATGAAACAAAAATAACCGAGAAGAAGTTCTGTAAACAAAGTGCTTAATGTTTACCTGCGGGCATTTGTGGGCGGGAGTGGGACAAAACTTAAACAAACAGAAAGACAATAATAAATATATCTGTATAAATGATAATAATAGTGCAATCCGTCCCGTGCAGGTCTCTGTTTTGCACTCAAACCGCGATCTTTTGCACAGAGCTGTGTCGCTAATGGAACTCCATAATAAACTGAGGCAGCGAGGAACGCGCATCCGGACGCATGAACGCGCGCAGCGATAAAGCAGGAGCGCGCAGGAGTGTAGCGGCGCTCGTGACGTCACGCGCGTGCGATTATTTTGAACGGGGGTCAAGATGGCGGAGGAGAGCGGCTTAAAGCACCGGAATCACACCGGACAGAACTGCAGGAACAGCCGGTATAGAGAAGGTAAAAACGGCGGAGAAAAGCGCGAGTGTGCGCGTGTCTGATCAGCTGAGCGCGGGTCACGAGTGGCGCGAAGTGGCGTTTAACGGGAGCAGGCCAGTGATGCGCTGCGGTAAAACACAGCGATATAATGAATTAATTCAGCGTAAGAATTAAATAAACGACACTAGATTAAAGCTGTCGCTTATAATGAACGTTAGAGCTCGGAGAATAGGTGTGTGAGGAACCCAGAGATGCTGAGGAGCAGTGAGGTAATGATGATGCTGCAGTCACTCAGAGGAGCAGATAGCAGATCTGATTTATTACTGATGATTAATATTACTATTATTATTGTGTTTGATGGTGAGTCGAGCTCTGTGTGAGCCTTTATCCTTTCGTTTCACTGCTCGTGTTTATCTCACGGGAAAATAGAGATCACGAGCGGACGGGAATTTCAGGAGAAACACAGTAAACGACGGAGAAATCGCTCCATCTCGATCACACTCAGGTGTTTTATTCTACACATTAATCACACATGGATAATATTCCGCTTTTCTGCCGTTTGACAGGCTGTTGTGGTGTAGAGATGGTGTTGTGTTGCTGGATGGTTGCGTGAAGGTTGTGTGACGGTTTCTCGAGATCACGTGATACACTTAGCGTTTTATTATTTAATTGGTTATTTTTGGTTATTGTGTGTGTGTGTGTGTTATGTAAGCTATTCTCCTGTACTGTCATTAACTCTATCCTCTTAAGACCCAAATGTGTACTTTACCTGCATTTTTTATTTCTCTTTGCTATTCGGATTTATTTTTATTTGAACCTAATTAGAATAAAAATCTAAGTATCATCTTTAATATGATGTACCTTTAGAGAAAAATGATGTCAATATATGTGGACTCGTGGTCAGAATATACATAAAACACTTTTTCTCAAATTTGTTTATGCATATTTAACATAAATGTATTACTTGCTTTGACTATCAGAGAGTAAAAACAAAAGTTTCCCCAATTTTGGACAGTTAAAAATAGTCTTTAACTAAATAAAAACATTTAAAATGTTTTAAATCAACACTTTAGAGCTATTTAGGAGGTTATGGTGTAGAATTTGAGACAGCTGGTGAATCTGCGTCCGCATGTTATATAATTGTATATAAATTAGAAGCGTTTAGAGTACAGGGTTTAGATTAGCATTTCAGTTTCATTTTTAATTCAAAATATTGTTGAAATAATGTGTGCGTGTAGCAGATATAGTTTTCAAAGTCAAACTGCGTTCTTCTGAGCTGTTCTTATTAATATCAGAGAAAGTGATGATGCTAACCGTGATTTTGTTTGATAATATGAACATATTATTGTTAGAAAAGTGGCAGTGGTATTGCATGAAGACTCCATTAATGCTTATTATGGTCAGAAACTGAATCTTATAGTCTTGTATTATGTTTCCTTATGATTATAAGTGGGTGTCACGGTGGCTCAGTGGTTAACACCGTCACCTCACAGCAAGAAGGTTGCTGGTTTGAGTGCCGGCTGGGTGTTTCTGTGTGCATGTTCTCCCCGTGTTGGTGTGGGTTTCCTCCGGGTGCTCCGGTTTCCCCAACAGTTCAAACACATGCGCTATAGGGGAATTGATCAGCTAAACTGGCTGTAGTGTATGGGTGTTTCCCAGTACTTGGTTGCAGCTCAAAGGGCATCTGCTGTGTAAAACATAAGGATAAGTTAGTGGTTCATTTCGCTGTGACGACCCCTGATTAATAAAGGGACTAAGCTGCATTACACTCTACGGTCGGAAACCTCTTGCCATATTTAACCCATATAGACATAAACAAGGTGCATTTATATGAGACTTATTACTGTAAGTAAGGGATAATGCACATCCAGCCGGAGGGTATGTCAGAATACAGTTTCATCAGCAGCTGTTGTGTAAGACTAAAGCGTTTATTCTGCAATAACAATCCTGATTATTACATAATGACCGTAATATTGATCGGTTATCTTTAATTCGGTAATATTAGTTATATGTGGTCACTAGTATCTTCACAAGTGATCTGAGCCCTGGAGAATCTGCGGTTGATTGACAGAATCAGAAAACAACAGCACTGTTGCATGTAGCCTCATGGACGAAACATTATACCTTCTGAGCTCCAATCAGATTTAGTTTTTAGTCTGATTTTCAATGAATCGCTCATAAACACTTCATCTTTCATTACCGGATGGATCATTTTTGCAGAATCATTCATATGCCGTGTTGTTGTCGGGTTGTTTCCACCTGTTGGTTAGCTGACGGAGCTGCTGCAGCTTTCACTTTTGAGCATCAAGTTAAAGATGGTGAACATCACATCAGTGTTTATATCTAAACTCTACAGCGGTCTGCTGTGTTTGTAACTTTACAACTACCTCAAGTCAAAAGACCAAAAGCTCAATCTCTTTCTCCATCAAAAATAAAACGAGCCACTCTGAATTCGCTGGTTTTGTGAGTATTCATTTGTTTGCGTTACATCATGTTCTGCGTGTCACAGTGCTAATGCTGATGTTATGGTCGTGTGTCGTGTTATAGGCAGCACATACAGTATACAGGTTTATATTGTTGGACGTTATAGTGCCTTGAACACTTGTAATTCTCCTACATGTGTGTAGTTTATAGGCTAGATTTGCTTGTACAGCACTTTGGATCAGTTTGGTTGTGTTTAAATGTGCTTTATGAGTAAGTGTTGTTGTGAAGGAGTTTAAAGGAGTCTCGAGGTGTTTGTGACGGCTGAGCTGCTTGTTTTTCTGCGTTTCTCCTGAACTACATGCAGTGCTGCTTTAAATAACCTCGCTGCCGATACGTGCCCTCGCTGGGGAGCACTCTCTGTTAGTGCACTAGATAACCAGCACTACAGGACTTCAGGGATGTGTCACTAGGAAACCAGTATAATGTGTGGTAGTGTCTGGCTGTTCATAAACCCTCCATCATTCACAGCGGACGTTATTTTATTATGGAGTTTGTCGTTTTGCATACGTTTAAGTTATTTTGAAGTATTCTGTGTCTTTTGTTTTACATTGGCACAGAAATACTGATGCAGACTTTTGCATGTGTATACATATTTTTTACATTTGATTTTAACATCGTTTACTGTATACAGGGAAAATGGGGAAAACAAAAGTAAAGTGAAGTAGATAAATAAGTGTGACTGTTTCTGTTAGCTATTTTGCCTGTGTATTGTTTTTGACAGATTAATGCGGTCAGAGTTTTTATTATTGAAGTTTGTGTTTTGGCTTTGATTGTAGTTTTATTTTTGCTTGTGTGTGCATGATAAAATGTGTTGTTGTTGTTCTCTACAGCTGGGTCAGTGTTTCTGTGGGTCAGAGACTGGCACACTGCACATGTTTTACTTAGTTTTTGTCTTGTTTTTAGTCCAAATATCTGCAAATTCTGAAATCAGGAAATATTTTCTAGACAAGCAAAACATGTAGTCTTGTTTGAGGAAATGAGGCAAAATAATCTGGCAATGGGTTAGTGAAATAATATAGATTTCACTTTAAATGACATGATGTTTCTTATACTATTTTTATACCTTAAATTAATCATCTTATTAGGGTTGCACGGTTTACCGGTACTATGGTAGTATTGTGGTATGGCTCCAAAATACCGGCAGTGCCACTGTACTTTGTAAACTGTAGTATTGTCATCAACAGTCTGTCTACAATTTGGCATGGGCCGGTATAAGATTCTGACGGTATGATAATCTTGGATAAAAATATTCTATTTTAGTTCAGTATAATTTGTGTGTATGTTTTGTTGGTCAGTTATCTACACAATAACCTTAAAGAACTAATGCATTATAGGTGAAGTGATGTGCAAATATGTTTTTTAATAATAAGAATAAGAGTTATGTTTGGAATTAAATTCAAGTAGAACTATTATAACATATAAAATATAGAATTTCTGACAATTTTCTTTATTTTATAAATTACAGTATTGCAATGCTACTTGCTATCCCGATGCTTCATCTGCAAACCGTGAATTAATGGCATCATGACAATCTTATACTTGTTTTAGGGAAAACTCTTGATTTTGACTTATTATTTCTGAAAAAGAGACCATGTGTTTTGCTCGTCTAGAAAATGCTTCTTGATTTAAGAGTAGAATTGGGTCAGAAACTGTGAGAGCAGCATGTTTGGCAGTGTGTTGCTGGTTTTACTGGTTTGTGTGTAACTTTAGACGGGCTGATGTAGGTCAGTCCTTTTGCGGCATTCATGCTGTGTTTTGAGGACAAACGCAGTGATCCAGAGATGTGGAAAGTATTACTCCAGTAGTGTGTGTGTGTGTACGTGTGTGTGTGTCCATTGTGTGCGTTTAATAATGGTGTGTATATCAGCGCTGCACAATATATGGGTTCAGCATAGCTAACTCACTGTGTGCAGACTAGTGGTGTAACGGATCACAAGTCTCATGCTTTGGATCACATTGTGGAGTTTTAGTCACAGATCGGGGTGACGCAGTGGCGCAGTAGGTAGTGCTGTTGCCTCACAGCAAGAAGGTCGCTGGTTCGAACCTCGGCTCAGTTGGCGTTTCTGTGTGGAGTTTGCATGTTCTCCCTGTATTCGCGTGGGTTTCCTCCGGGTGCTCCGGTTTCCCCCACAGTCCAAACACATGCGGTACAGGTGAATTGGGTAGGCTAAATTGTGCGGAGTGTATGAGTGTGTGTGTGAATGTGTGTGTGTGTGTGTGGATGTTTCCTAGAGATGGGTTGCGGCTGGAAGGGCATCCGCTGCGCAAAAAATTGCTGGATAAGTTGGCGGTTCATTCCGCTGTGGTGACCCCGGATTAATAAAGGGACTAAGCTGACAAGAAAATGAATGAATGAGTCACGGATCGGACCATTTTTCAGATCAGGCAAACAGGGGAGGAGACAAATGTCATTTGCTTTCCATTTATTACAGAAACAGCGCTGCAAGACACTTGGTTTAAACAAATAGATCTGAGAAGATGTAATTTAATAAAAAATAAAATGAAGAAATAATCAGCTGAATAAACTAAATTGTCAGTACAGTTACTCCTACTGTTGCTGATGATGCTGGTAATGCAGAAATCTAACATTATCATCGGTACAAGCCATTTTTTTTATTTAAATGATTCGGTTATTCACTCATAAATATTCATGTTTCTTTGCTGAATGATCATTTTTGAAAAATTATTCAGTGGCGTATTTTTGATGGCCACCTACTGGTTAAGTAATGTAATTGCTGCCTACAACTTTCATTTTTGAGCATCAAGTTAAATGCATATGATGGAGATTTTAATCTTTACCATAAACATCAGTGGGTTAGGGTTAGTTAGGGTTACGATGAATAAAAATATGCAAATCATGTGTATATCATTATAATGTATGTTGCGTGGGTGTTGAGATCCTGATCTTTGAATGATTAATCATGCAGCTTACACTGAATGCATTCATGCAGACCAAACAAGACAGAAACACCTTTAATAAACTAAGAACCCCTCCACATGCTCAATAACCCTTTACAACATCACCTGTCTTCATTATATTTTACAGCAAAGCCTAAACGCTTTCAGACATGTGATCTGAAAGACACGGGAGATGATCTCTCTGCCATCCTTTCTGATTAATCTACAATAAATAAAAATGTATTCGCCTTACACATGTGCTCTGAACCCTGAGTATGATCCGTTACACACCCAGTGCATATGAAATAGTCCCATCACAGGATCTGCAGTGTGGAGCTGGGATTATACATGGTTCAGGACTCATCAGATCTGTGCATCACTCTAGAGTTTAACCGTAAGCGAGTAAAGGTGCAACATTTCCATGTGTTTTAGGCCTGACAGAGTAAAAGAAATTCAGGCTCAAGAAATGTCCCATTGAGAACTTTAATAAAGAATAATTGTGCTTATTTATCTGTGCAGTGATGACTTTATATAGAGTCAGTTTACATTTAATTACTCCATTTCTGCACCAGAACACTCTCTGACTACACTGAAACACACATGACGAGCACAGATGAACACAACAGAGCAAAGACACAAGCAAATAACCTCTGCTCTGTGTGTCTGTGTGTCTGTGTGTGTGTGCGTGTGT